GTTGATGTCATTAAATTTTTAAAAACCCAAAATGCCACGTGTTTTATTTAATATTTGTTCATTGTGCAATTATGAAAGTATTGTATAAAGGTTTACTTTAATTCCAATACAAATTTTCGGTGTCGATATATAGGCTATTGCCATTACCTACGAATTGTATAAACTAAAATCAACTGTGCATAAATATGACAATTAACGCAATTAAAAGGCATCGAAATGCCAAATAAAAAATGTAGACCTCTTAATTGCACTGAATTATAAAATTTAATAGCTTTTAAAGCTGTGCAATGTAAACCATCAAAAAAAATTGTATATACATTAATTAATAGAAGCTTATTAAAAATAAGTTTCTCTTTTCCTATTCTTATATTGTATACCCAACAACTGTTATGATAACAATATTATTAATTGAATCAATGTATTAAGTTGATAAAAAAATTGGTAAATCGAAAAAAAGCAATTACAATAAATATGTACACGTATAAATATATGTATGCTGAACAAGCTAAGCTTTCAATTTCATTGAGACTACATCGAAGTCGAACTTCAATAAAGGTCAGTGGTATATATGGATGAATGTATGTAATTTTCATGTAAAATATATAGAGACTAAGCATATGCATGAATAAATTTATTGTAAATAATACAAAAATCGCAAATTCAGCAATATAAACATTTTAAATTTTTTTTTCAACTCATCATTTTACGGTTTTCTTGTCACCAAAACTTCCATTCACTAGAATTACAAAATTATTTAAAAAAAACAGAATTCGCATAAAAAATTAATTCAATGGAAGTTAAAATTAATTCAGCGTATTTAAAAATGAATGCTTCATTGTTGCCAGAATTGTTGACGTAAGTTGATTTGAATCAAAAAATTAGAATTATTCCATTAAATTAACAAGCAATAGATAATGAAAATAAATAAAAATAGAATAAAACAGAATAAAATAATATAAAAAAATTAATGATGTTAAAAAAAAATAATTTAAATTAAACTTATTTAAAATAAATTAAGATAAATAAAATGAACAAATCGAATAAAATAGAATAAATTGAAATGAAATGAAAAAAAAAAATAAAAAAAAAAAAAAAAATGAAATGAAATAAAATAAAATAAAATAAAATAAAATAAAATAAAATAAAATAAAATAAAATAAAATAAAATAAAATAAAATAAAATAAAATTAAATTAAATAAAATAAGATAATATTACAAAATTATTAAATAAAAGAAATAAAAAATAAAAAGTAAAATAAAATAATTTAATAAATAAAAAAAATATAAAAAAAATAATTAATAAATTTAAACAAAATAAAACGAAATAATATAAAAAAATTAAAATAAAAATTAATTAAATAAAATAAAAAGAAATAATATAAATAAAATAAAATAGAATAAAATAAAATAAAACAGTATAAAAAATAAAACAAATTTATATAAAATGAAACGAAATAAATAAATAAAAATATATTAAAAAAAGAAATAATAAAATAGACTTAAAAAATAAAGTAAAACAAAATAAAACAATATGAAATAAAATAGAACAGTATAAAAAAAATTTAATATAAAATAAGTTTAAAAAAATAAAATAGAATTAAAAAAATGACTTAAAATAAAATAAAGCAGTATGAATTAAAATAAGCTAGAATAAAATAATATAAAATTAAATAAAATAAATGAATTTTCCAATCGATTACTAATTTCGCTTGAATTAAATAATTTTTAACGCTAACGACTTCGTCAGCAATTTCCCAATATACCTATATTGGTTGAAAGACCACTTGTTGAGTGTTTGAATTGCAAATTTTTATGTTTACCGATATTTGCGCCTGACAGCTTTATTGTTTGCGAGGAATTATGAATGCATAAATGACGCTGAAACTTTGTTTGCTTGTTGATATTTACTGTTATTAAGTAAATATTTGGATGATTCAAGTATATATTCCGTTGAATGAATCATCATTTAAAATCTGTGATATTCACATAATAATGATAGAGGCTATATAAGCATGATAATATCATTTTCAAAAGGAATATATGGATTAGTAATAACTAAGCTGACGTACAATAAAAAATGCATAAAATATGTTAAGTCTTTGAAAAATATAATATTTTTCAAAAACACAAAATGAAACGTAAAATGAAAATAAAATACAATACTTGATGATTATTCTTTATTTACTTTATTACTACTTTATCTTACATTTACTTTAAATGTTAAATATAATATATATAGTGTATTTCAAATACAGGTATATAAATTTTAAATATAATAACATAGATATTTTGTTTGTGTATGCTTATTTGAGTATGTATATAGTTCAAAACATGTATTTCATATTCTAAAACTAAAAGTATGTCACATGGAAAATGAGACATACACATTTTTTTTATCGAAAGAATTTAATTTTTAAAATTTTTTTCCTTTCAATGCTTTAAAAGTATTTTGCTATTTTGATGGATACTTCAATTCACTTACAAAGAGATTCAAAAATAAAAAAAAAATTATTCTGAAGTCTTGCTTGCCATATAAACCACAAATTTTTCACCGCTTTTTGTCACCCAACAGACTTACAAACAATTTTACTGCACGCTTGTTAACTCAAAAATCAAAAGTTCAAAGTCAAAGTTGGAGTTTCGTTCGCCAATTTGCATAAAACCATTCTTGGTTTGACGATTTTTCAACATAACATACATACACACATATACATATGTGTATAATTGTTGGTTGCTTTTGTACACATAACTAAACAACAATTGTCTAAATATTTATAAATAAAATTGCGCATACTACTGCTCGTATATGTAATTTCAAGAGAATATGTATGTATGTATGAACATACGACTACATACGAGTATGTGCGCTTACTCTGTATGCTTCTGTGTGGTCTTTGAACTGTTGGCCTTGGCTGTTTTCGAGCGTGGTGTTTGAGCGAGTATTGTTTGTTGTATTAACAGTTGCTAGAGTTATAACAGAATTTTAGCATTGTCAAGCTCATTGAAAGAAAACATCTTTGGCGAATAATTCTTGCAATAAGTTTGTATATTTCTTTTATTTATTTCAATTCTAACTTTTTTTTTACTTGTATAATAACAATAACAAATCAATGAAAGCTGTTAATAAAGAATTCTAAATATTAAATTATTATTATATATTTCACATTTACCCCTTCTTAACTCATGCGAAATAAAAATTAAGTTTTTCTCCAAAAAATGTATACACGAAATTTATTTTTAGATAAATTAGCATAAAATAAAACATTCTCATTTATTAAAGCACAATAATGATGAGTCATCGCCTTTGCACTTTCGCTTGAAATCCAACACCTGTACAGAATGCTTCAGGATTTTTTTATGCAAAAAAAACTTGCTTTGTTCAAATGATCTCCCAAATTAGCTGCTTAATTAGCATAAAAAGGGGAGAGCAGTATTTTTTGTACATTAGTATTTTACTTTCAATAACTGGGCAGGAAATATGCATGAGACAGACGTAGAATTGTGCTCAGATACTTTGTATCGTTTTTGTAATAAATTAAATTAAAAATTTGTGTATAACTTTTTTCTTTCCAAAAAAATGCTGCTGGTATGCAAATATTTTTGCTACTATACCGTTAAAACCGGCTTTGAAGAAGAATAAATTCCTCCATGGCTAGATAACGGTAAATCGTACTTAACTTCTGTTAATTCGTCTGATTTTGTTTACATTTTTTTATTAATGGAATATTTCAACATATTTCATTGCCAAATTCCAACTCTGATTGTTTTACTTTTGTGCAAAATAACTTAAATAATCCTGAAAAAGGATATTTTGATAATGGAAGGAAAAGTTCTTAATTGATTAAACTCAAAGAATACAAAAATATTAATAAGTCCAAATAATAAATTATTTACATAATTAAAATAATACAAAATTAACAAAATAAAAAAATTAAACAAATAAAATATAATAATATAGCCAAATATAAATTAAAATAAAAATAAAACCAGAAATTAAAAAAATGAAAAACAGAAAGCAAAAGGGGGAAAAATTAAAAAAATAGTGAATAACTATAATAAATTAGAAAAAATCAAAAAAAAAAATAAACTAGATTCAAATAAAATAAAATAAAATAAACTAGAATAAAATAAAATAAAATAAAATAAAATAAAATAAAATAAAATAAAATAAAATAAAATAAAATAAAATAAAATAAAATAAAATAAAATAAAATAAAATAGATTGAGAAAAAAAATGATAATATAATATCTTAAGCAAAATATTCTGTCTATTTAAAACCGTTGTTCTAGAAAATTTCCCGAGAATATAAATAGTTGCCTTTCTACGTTCACCAATTACCTACATTTCAAAACTAGTTTTTTTTTATATATTTTTGTATTTTTCGCAAATAATGATGACTTGCAAAAATAATTTCCATAGCTAAATTAATAAAAAAGTTGTATTGTTTATTTTATACATATTAAAGTCATAAAATATATTATATATTTTGCTTTTTTTTTTGTTTAAATGCATAAATTGGTTGGTTTGCAAAATATTTATGATTTGGCCACAGCTTAGTTGAATCAGCGTTTACGTAATTATTTATTTATTTTCGATGTCACTATGCACTAAGCGATGGACTTTGAACATTTTAGTTTTGGCAAAAAAAAAAAAAAAAATAAAAATGAAAAAATAAAATTAAAAAAAAAATAAAAATATATAAAAGCTAAAATTAAAGGAAAATAAAAAGAGGGTAAACGAGTTATAAGAAATGCAATAGTCAAAGTGAGAAACTGGAAATGGATCAGTGAAAGTAAAAATTTCAGAATTGAACAAAAAAAAAAAAAACCCAGAAAAATAGGTTTAGCAATAACTTTTGGTATCAATATTAAAATTAATCTCAAAGTTAAACTAAACTAATTATTTTGTAGAAAAATACATATCTATTTAGTTCTTTTTAATTTGTAATTTTTGTATTTTTATTATTTATTTTTATTTCTTATCCTATTTATTTTTTCAGATACAGAAATCAATGATTTCTCAGCTGTCGCTCTTCAGCGAAAACAAAGCACACTTAAATCACAATTATCAGATGCCATCAAAGAATCTTGCTTGCCAAAAATGTTATGCGAAATGGCTGCAAAGCCTGAATATATGCTTACTGAAAAGGAGAAGGATCTTTTATATTTAATAAGGTGAGTGTTTCAAGCCCAAGAAGAAGAAGAAGTTAAAAAAATACCAAGAGCATTGATTGCCATACAAAGGAAAAGAGGAAAAACCTATGTTAAGATACCAATTTTGGCAACAAGATTATTCTTTGTAAGACAAAGCATAAGGAAAAAAATAGGTCAAGCGAAATATTTTGGTAACAAGAATATTGTTTGTGATTTAGTTATTGAGAAAATTGAACAATGTCATAGCGAAAATATGCATATAGAACAGCGAAAGTAAAAATTCCAAAATTAAACCAAATAAAAATAAAAATATGTTGAGCGAAACGTTTTGGTATCTGATATCATATATCATACGAAATATTTTTTTCTAATTTTTCATTATTTTTTTTATTATAGGTTTTAACTCAAAATAATGAAAAATGAGATAAAGTTAACATATTGTTTATATGTTTATACAAATATTTAAATAAAATTATTCACTAAAATTACTAATAAATAAAACGTTTTGTACACAAAATATTTTCTTCACGATACTATTTTGTCAAAGCAAAAATACATTACTTATAGCTTGAATCACTAAGCGAACAATATTTTATTCTCGAAAGTTCATCAGTTCAACAATTTACGCATTTCATTGTATAAAGAATATTAGTTTATTAAAATTTGTTATAAAAATAGCAAAATCCAGTATTGAGCTATTGTATGAGGAAGCTGCTAATTTCATAAATAAATTCATTTTCTAGCAACGCAATAAATTACCAATTACCAAGCCCAGCCAGCCCACTACGCCGCCCATGATAGGCGCAGCAAATTGTTTTTGCATAAAAAACAAAAAAAAAATCTAGTCTAACTGGTAACTTAAATTCAATTATTATTCTTAATTACATATTCTGCGTTAAATTAGCAAGCAAAATTTGTATTGAAAAAGCAAAAAAAAAAAAAAAAAAAAAAAAAAAAAATAATAATAGAAAAAAATTGGCAAATCTATCAACTCCTCCAGTCAGTCAGTCAACAGCTGGTTCCACAATAAGGAAGTGAATTCGTAATTTATTTTAAATTTTTTTTTTGGAGTTTGCTCCCACTGATGAGTGCGTGGTTCTAGACATAATATTTGCATGTTTTTTTTTATTTGTACATCTGTTTTTTTTTTGTCTTGCCTTTTTTTGCAAAATCATTAAAACAAACTTTCAGTTCATTTCTGCGCATGAATACACCAACATTAATAAACATTGGAAAACCAGTTAGTTTTTGCGGCGCTAGGGTTTGTTGGTTTATTGAAACACATTAGTTTTCCCCGCCAATGTTGGAAACACGTGTGTAAATATTGAAAAAAAAAAAAGTGCGAAAACAAATCGTCTCACGGCTTGGGTGTTTTATACAAAAAAAAAAAGAAAAAAAACAGGCCTAACGTATATATTTGAATTTATTGTTATTTATTTTGCGCGGTTCGTCATTGCGTAGTAAATTAATTCTGTTTTTTATTCTTTCTTCAGGCCTGTTTTTGAAGTCATTTTAAAACAACTAACGCACGTGCTATCCTCAGATCTTATCATAAACCATTTTAATGGCGTAATTCTGTTGGCAAATACATTTTTTTTTTGTTTTTACTGAAATAAGAGTTTTTGGGTGGTATAATTTTGTTTTTGTCATGTGCCAAATAATTTACAATACAATTCAAATATGCAAAAAGTCTCGTTAATTTAATGAGCATGTTTTTTTTCGAAATCTAATTAACTGAAATTAATATTTTTTTTTTATATTCGAGGTATATATTCGAATAGCTTATGATTTATAGGGTTATCCGTTTTTCTGGTTGATAATTTGATATCTGGCAAACTCAACTACCAAATCAAACATGTTGTGTTTTAGTTAAAAGTCTGATATTTATGAAAACGTACCGCCTAACAACCCCACAACGCATTGAAATCTTTAAAATCGACTACAAAAATATTGCTTCAAATGAGGCCACGTGCCATACCTTAAGTGGAGATTATGGTGCATACCCCCAAGCAATTGGTAAGATATTGAACAAATTTGAAGATACTATACCGATTACAGGTATTGTAAGGCCTGAGTGTCATTCGTTTCCTCGTCGCGCCTCAAATACGGCTACTGCTAGTGAAAACTGAAGCCTTATTATGACAAGTCAGTATGAACATACACCCACATCGACACAAAGTTAAGCTCGCATGAAAACTGAAAGCAGCTGACCATTTGCAACACTCTACATACGAAGATGAGGTGAATGACGATTTCTCGAACAAAAATTTCCTCGGCGACAATTCCCATTTCTCACTCGGGTTATATGTAAATATGCGAAATTGTCAGAATTGAAGAGAGGCCATTTTACCTAAAAAAATTTACTCTCTGTTGCGCTCTTTGGTCCGAAAGTGTGTTTGGACTTTACTTCTTTGAAAACGATAATTGCGAGACTGTCGCTGTCAAGACTTTTTTCAAGCTGGAACTGAAAAACATGACTTGGACAATTTATGCTTTCAACAAGACGGTGACACATGCCACACAAAACGAGCGAATATAGCTTTATTGCTAGAGAAACTCTTCTCAGCCGTGTATTCGCTCATCTTTGGCGATGACGAGTTCGTGTGATTTGACATCGTTGGACGTTTATTTGAAAATAAACGGGTTTATGTGGATGTGGAGAAGCCTTTAACTCTTATGCATTTGTAATTCAACAGACGTCAAATTATGCTATTTCCAACTGTTTATTTTCAGTAATCTCTGAACAACCAATAGATTTTTATGAGGAACTTTTATTTAAGAGGGAGAGGGCAGCATTTCAAAAATTAATTTCTACGATTTTTAATATTGGTCGAACCAGGACTTGAACACTGGCCTTCCCATTGTTAGTACGCAATGCTGTTCTAATAATTTCCTTCCTTCAGATAACTTAATTTGTAATGGAGGAGCTCCAGTCAGCAATTGACAGAGAGGACTGTAGTGATTCTTCTGTTTTATTAAATGATAGCAACGCTCTTGAATAAGAATTGGTTTTACCGTGTCTATATCGCATATGAGAGGCCGCTAGAGTTAGATTCTATTAAAAGAAAAAATGTAGATTCGTTTTTTCTGGTGAAAACTTAGGTTAGTTTTAAAATAAAAACTATGAGTAACAAGGCCTACTGTCTGGTTGTTTAGAGGTCACGTGCTCAAACACGGACTTAATTCCAAAATATTTTTTTTTTAAATTTTTAAAAATAAATAAATATTTGGGGGCGGAATCGACCTTAATTTGCTTCGATGTGAATTAAAGAATTAAAGTATATAAAGAGACAAGAGAGAAGTTGTATGCTTTAAACTTTTTCGGAAACCCTCGTTGGAGCTTCACTCAAGTTTTACGACAATTGTGAAGATAAAAGCTGAAGCTTCAAAAACAGCTTCTTCTAGATTAATGTAGCCACTGCTTATTTACACGACTATAACCGAATTAACAATAGCACGCCAGTTGTTTAGATTCTTCTCATCGTTTTGGCATCAATCGGAAATACTAACAGACTGGAGGCCTTCCTCTGTCCTTGTTTTCACTAGCGAGTACTACTTTTTAATTTAAATTGCTAGCTAGACAGCAAGTTGAGCCACTGCTTCAAATCTTATTTGGGTTATTGGCCTTTTGCCCCACCAGTACGCCAAGGGGCATATAAATCTTTTGAAAGAAATTTTACGTTAAATTCCTATTGCCATTTCATCGAGCTTTGCAGCTCCTACTTTTTTCCCCAGCATTATGTTGAAGGGATCGCACGGCAGATATTCTCACTGCCTTAAATTTCTTTTTTGATTCCACTTCTGGTGTAGCTAAGAGTTAGCAAAAGGTTCTAAGGCATGCTCATTTTAGAAATATCGGCCTAGAGGACGCTCCTTTTCTCACAGTTAATTTTTAGTGCTTTTCGCGTGGTAAACATATGGTTGATAGTAGATTTACCGCTATCCATGCCGATAAGTCCGAATCAGTTAGTTGTTTATGGATCAAAGTGATCATCAGTAATACCTTGTGGTTGCCCTTGGTTGACGAATAGAGTTTAGATTCACACATCATGACAGAGTTGTCAGGGATATTTCAGCGTGCTTGGCAGGTATAATCTAATTAAGAGCCAAGAGAGGGTCTCGGATGGACAAGGTATCTTACGAAGAAGATGTAAGGTCCAAATTTCAGCACAGCTTCGTACTGAAACCAAATTGCTTTGAATATGAGTTTTGCTCTTTTGTATTCCGCCGAAGCTTTTTGGGCGGAAGTACATTTTTTTGCGCCAACATAAATATTTTCCATATCCTTTATTAATAAATTTGTGATTTAATTACTTCTTTAACAAAGCTAATTATCCGTTTTGGTTCTTGCTTCTCACCGCCAATGACAAATTGAGTTATTGCATTAAACGATTTCTAAATGTAATTGCAAAAATTCTTAGCATGCTCACCTTCTCCACGACTAATGACAGTCATTACCTTAACCTACATCAATTGTAATTACAACAAAATACAAATTTTGTATTTTTACATGCATACATATATATGTATATATTTATTCATAGTTTCCATTGTTTGTAGTAAATAATAAGCTATATCTCCGTAAGAGCTCGAGGCTTGGAATGAGCTTGGAGAGACTTCAACTTTAACATACATATTGACTGTTGCATGTAGCAGCTACTTTGTCATACCGTTATTTGTCTTGATTATTTATTAAAAATTTTTCGCACTTTACAAATAAAAAATAAAAATATTATGCGAAATCTTAGTAGTGCTTATTGGACGCCGGCTTGGTCACGTCGCTTTGGTGATATACAGATATATTTTTTAATTATATGGATACATGTGTCTAATGTCTACTAGAAAATTGCTTGAATTGTTAGAATAAATTTTAATTGTAAAATGTTTAGTGCAAATTTATGTGCACTAAAACAAATGGCAAGCAATGAAAATACCGTAAAAAGGAAGTAGTAATGACTTTGAGTTGTTAACTTATTTTCTTTTAAATCTATGCAAATTGTTCTAAATGAGTACTGTAAATATAATATGTGTTTTAAGTGTTCATATATATGTACACACATATGTACATAGGCTAATGTCAGTTAGTAATAAAATTGCTGTAAATTATATTTACATATATGCATTAAATAGAACTACAAACAGACGTTGGAAAATATTTTCTTTTCCAGATCTCAGTACATACATATAATTTGTTTGAGTATATCATTGTAAAATCGCTAAACAGCTGTCCCATTGCTATACGTTTATACAGATGTTTGAATGTGTTGTATTATGACAGTAAAACCGTGGCTTCATAAAAATATATTTACACACCAGTTAAAGTAAAATAATGCAGGAGAAAAAAATAGTTTAGCAACTAACCGGTTAACTGACTGGTAGCAGTAACCTCGCACTTGACTTTAGCGCAATTAGCTCAGTGGCAGAAAAAGCTTTTTAATAATATATATACATTAATGTATACTTATATACATACCTACTTACCACAATATAAATTATAGCAACTTAAAGTGGAGAAATAAAAATATAAAATAATAAGAAAAAAAAATATTTTCAACTAACTCTATAAGTAAATATAATACATAAGTACATATAAACAGCTTCCTCTCAACCGGCAATGCTATTGCGTTGGCTAACAAAGCCTTAGAAAATTATAACAATTATGTAGTAGTAGTAGTAGCAGTTTGCTGACAGCCGCATCTGAGTAGAGTAGCCTAGCCTGAGCGCTTCGTGCCTTTTATAAATATGTACATTTGTAAGTGATTGCAGTTGCTTGTGACGACAGTTTGTAGACTTTCTGTGCAATTACAATTTGTACTTACTTAAACAAACTGTAAACAAGTTGTAATTTTTTTTTTTTTTTTTTTTTGTAAAAGTTGTTGGAAGTCACGTCAGTGTCGCAGGTTAAAGGTGAAGTTTATGCGTCAAAAGTGTGCTCCCCCATTCATGCTTACTTTCACCCAAGTGTTTGAACTGGAAATTATACGGAAATTACGGTTATGCACTGTAAAAAATTAATTAAACTTTATATTATTTTATTTTATCTTATTTTTATTTATTTTATTTTTTTAGTTTATTCTTAAATTTAATATATTTTTTTTTCATTTATTCTTTTTAATTTATATTACTTTATTTTATTTTAGAAATTGCCCGTCATAATTATGATCTATTAGGTTTATTGAATTATTAATTTTATTATAACTCAAGAACTATTACATATTCTATATGTATGTTCTACATATTAAGCAAAGCTTAAATATCTACTCAATCTCAGGCCCACTTCTTGAAAGAAAAAGTGTTCCCAATGGTAATTTAAAATTTAATTTTAAAATTTTCCCCACATTACTTCAGACAAAGATTTACCTATATTGCATATTGTTTCAAATAATTTTGTTTTTATATAAATGTTCTTTTTATTTTATATCATTCTTTTTTCATTTTTGAATTTTATTTCAGTTCATCTCATTTTATTTTACTTTATTTTATTTTATTTTATTTTATTTTATTTTATTTTATTTTATTTTGTTTTATTTTATTTTAATATATATTATGTCATTTTCTTTTATTTTATTTTAATTAATTCTTTTTAATTTTACTTGATTTTATTTGGTTTAATTTAATATATTTTGTTTTATTTTATATTCATTTATTTTGTTTCATATTATTTTTTTATTTTATTTTATATTTTTTTTATTTCATTTTGTTCTCTTCTTTTATTTGATTTTATTTTATTTCCTACATTTCTTTATTTTTGCTTTATTTTATATTATATAATTTCACTGTGTTTTGTATGCTTTTTTAAAATTTACTTTACTTAATTTCATTTGATTTTCTTAATGTTATTTTTTTTCATTAATTAAAATTTTCTAATTTATTAACCATATTGTATTTTCTTATCTTTTCAGATCATCCACCATGTCATTGGCAATGAACGCAGCGCCGAGTAAATGGCATTTTGCTGCCCACATGGGCGAGTTACTGCGTTACACCGGCGATCATCAGAGTGGCCCTATGGGTTGTGCGAACCTTTGGCCAAATTGTCCGATCAGTTCGAAGAAACTTATGAAACTGTCGCATAAAGTGAAGCTGTGAAAGGAGGGCGTTAGAAATTTACACATTTAATAAATAAAAAATGGGAATTTTTTAGAGACACAGTTTGAGCAAAATTCAAAGAATATACCGACAGACGAAAAAAGTGCACAAGTTGGGACATCTAACTATTTTACAAGTAGTACTGATTCATAGTTTACGAAATAAGAAGATACATCTTATAAATGTAAATGTGTTTGACAAAACTAAAGATTTTTTAGCTTAAGCCTTATTGCATTTCCTGATTATTGAAGTGGCGGCTGAGCTTTATAGCTGAGTACGGAATAGAAAATAATATTTTTAACGGTATCAAACACTAAAGCGAGACTCGGTATCGCAATAAATGCAATTTCCAATTTACCAGCTTGCATTTTTTTAAATATATTTTTATTACCACTTTTGGGCTTGTAAATACTTTTAAATTTCTATATACTAAAATAAATAATAAATTTAATATAGATTAAATTAAAAAATAATAATAATCATAATACGTATAAATTAAATGCTGGAAAGTCTAATGCACATTTTCACTTGCTTTTGAAAACATTTTAAATGCTATAATTTTTCCTAAAATATTTGTGGTATGTTTGGGCCAACACAGTTGATTAGAAAATAATATTGAGGTTAAGTTAAGTTATAAAAAATTTAAAAAATATTGTAAATATTTCGTCTACAGCTTATTGTAAATAATAGTATAATTTCAATGCAGGTTTAAACTTTTTATTGAAAAAATTTAATAGGAATTTTTTTAAGTTAGTTAAATGAAAAGTATAAGTACTTTTCATGTATTATTTTGAGGTTTAATTTAAATTTAATTAAAAATTTATAATAAAAATTCTATTTAGATTTTTGTTAATGAGTTTTAAACGATAATTACGATATAAGTCATAAAGAAAATGATGAAAAGAAAACAAAAAATGAATAAAAATCTGTGAAACACTTAATTTGTAGTTTTAATAAAACACAAAAGAAATTTTTTTAAATTTAGTTTTTACTTTTTTTTGAAAAAAAAAAAAAAAAAAAATTTCGTAATAATGTTATTAACCAATCATTTACTGCCGATTAACCCACCGTTTATTGCTTAAATATTTGAACGCCAATTCGGTGAGCGCATCATTTGAATAACGTTAGACTACTCGCCCATATGTATGTGTGTATATTGAGAAATCGACTTACGCTGGTCAAGAATATCATTATGTTGCTTACATGCGATTTGATGTTGACTTTGATAATGTAAGTTTGTATGTTGGCAGCAAACAAGCTTCTGCATGACTAGACATAAATTGGCCATTAGACATATATTTACTTATATGAGAGCATATGTTAGGGTGGTTAAAAATTATATTTTTGGTAAACTTAACTAAAATTAACTCGTAGAAATAAGTATTAGAAAAAAGTTCAATTTAATTTTTTCATTAAATCCATATCAGCATTTTATTTATGCTTAACTTTTATATAAATTAAGTTTAAATTTTTATTAACATGTTAGTATGTTTAGAGTTATACTTTTGGTAAATTTTCATATTATTTACTGTCATATTTTGTTAAAAATATTCAGTTAAAACTTTTTCAGTGAGGTTCAGATCTATATATTTTTAAATCCACATGTTAGGGTTGTTCAAAAATCAACTTTTAGTAAATTTTAATATTAATTTTATAAATTAGAATTTTTTCAAATAAATTCAATTAAATTTTTTTTAATTACATCTATATCCGTTTAGACTCACATATTATATAAATTACTATTATTCTGTCAAAACAGTTGAGTTAATTTTTTTTTCTTTAAATCCATGTCCGTTATAGAATTACACGGTGATGGCTGTGATAATTTTTAAAATTATTTCTATAATTTATTACTATTCATTTGAAGTAATGCAACAAAAAGTTTTTCATTAAATCCACATTCGTTATTAGGGTGGTTCAAAGTGGTATTTTTGTTATATTTGGAATTATTTTTAGAAATCAGTTTTATTCTTTTAAATAAATTCAAATGAATTTGCATTTAATATGCACATTCTTAATGTAAGGGGAATTCAGAATTATAATTTTGGTAAAATTTAAAATTTTCCTTTATAAAATATTCGTTTCAAATGAACTTTTTTTTTACTAAATACATATATGTTATGGGATTCCATGTTAAGGTAGTTCAGAATTATTATTTTGGCAAAATTTAAAAATATATTTGTAAGTTAATATTAATCTGTTAAATAAATACTACTAAAATATTTTTATTAAATCCATATATAATTATATATATTTATATAAATACCCATGCCAGGGTGATTTTGAATCATTTCTTTTATACAAATTCCCGTCTAATTTATTTATATATTTTATTTTCATTATATTGGCCTATAACTCTTGAATTTATAGTGATAAATCTTATAACACCGGTTACAAAATTACTGGAAAATAAGTTCAAAATTATTTAAAAGATGTTTTTGAAACAAATTCTATAAAAAATATTAGCTAGCAATATTTTGTATAAAATATGTTTCAAAAACATATTTCAAATAATTTCGATTTTTCGTTGGTAATTATTTGGTTTACAGTCGCACAGCTGCAGCATTTTAAAGTACAGGTCTAATAATGATAATTTTTTTGTAATAATATGCCTTCAAAGCGCTTCATTTACACATATTGCATACATTAATATAACACAATTGGCATGACAATGCATTCACTCATATAATATGAAGGTTTAGTATACAATAAATTAAATGTTAGAAAATATCTGATGTTTTTGTGCGGTGAGGTTTTTATTGTTAATACATTTTCTGAATTTAGTTTTTAATATTATGAAAACTACTCTTATATATGCCATTGAAAATTTATTTGGTAACTTATTATAATTAAGTTTTTTGCTTATTAATAACGGTAAGAAATCTTCAAGGCCGTGTAAAGTTATCTTTACTACGAAAAACTAGACTTCCGGTTATAAAAAAAATTTTAAATTTAGTAAATGTGTAAACGCTTTTTGCGAGGGTTAAAAAAAAATATAATTTTAATTAATTTAAAATATTTTATATTTAATATCCACTGCAAAAGCCTGCAATAATTTGTATTTACTTTATATTTATATACTCGTAAGTGGTGATCGCAATAGTCGACATTCGGAAGGCCGATGATTGAATTCAAAATTATACAGGGAATGTCAATGCCTTCGAGTATATACTTTACACGAAATAAAAGTCGCCGCCGTTTGTAGATGACTTAGGAATAATTCTAGATTTCTCCATTTATTGGGGAAACATCTAGGCGCATACCAATAATTGGTGGAGTAGCTTTGCTGAAAATAGCTTCGGTATTTACACAGCGCTAGATATATACATACACATATACCATATATGTATGTCGTCTAATATTCAAAAATTTTCTACAAATATTTATTCCTATTCCAGACTACTAAAACTATCATTAAAATGCATTTTTATTTAATTTTATGCTTTTATATGGAACGTGTTTGTCATACAACTTGTGCCTTTAGCCGCAATTACTTTTCGTGATTACTTGCATTTATTGTGAATTTGGTAATAAAATTTTTAATACCTATTGAAAAAAATAAATAAAAACAAATCTAATAGCAATCAAGTAGTGGAAAATTTTTGAACCAAATAAAAAATGAGCTCTTTGAAAGTCTGTAAGCAAACCAATTAAATGTGCAATTTTTGAAGGCAAACTTTTATAGAAATAAAAGATTTACATCTAATTTTTCTGAATGAATGTGTTTTTTTTTAGTGTATTTTCTAAAAATGGCAGAAAAATAGTTTCTTCTCGGAAATGTATTAGGATATTCTCTGATGAAAGGCAACATCTAACAAAAAATTAATTTTAGAATTTTTGCTAACACAATATTTTTTTTTTCCTACTGAAAGCTCGGAGCAAAGGGATATGCCTCTGTTGAATTTATGTTGCGAATAAATATTTTCTGCTTTTACTCCGATATTTCTAAGTATGAAAACTGTAGATCAGAGTATTAGCTGATTTTCAATATCAGAACATGTCTAACAATGTAAATTTTGCTTCCAAAAAGTCGTTGTTAAAACTCCACTTGACATTCAGGTAGGCCCTGTAAGTTTTTTGGTCCTTATAGACAACACATTTATCCTACTCAGAACACTCAATAGAAGCTGAAGAGACACCAATAGGCCTGAAATACTCGGTAGTTGCAAGAGAGGTTTTTTTGATTGCTTGAATAAGCGCTACACCTATCCTTTGGCATATACTAGTGAACCTCATAATCCAAAACAGTTTGTAGATAAATGTTAAGCCGATAGCTTTCTGCTAGAGAGAAGAGAGGTAATATCATCTATCGTTGGTGATCTGACTGACTTGAAGAGTATAAGTGTGAGTGGAACCTATGGAGGTTGTAAGGGATTGCAAGTGATTAAGCTACGTGAAGCTCGCACTAGATTTGTGTTGACGACCTTTACAGTTCGCTCTGCAAAGTTCTGCTTGGAGATTAATAGGCACAGTTTCTAAAGTGATATGTAAGTAGGCGGAATATTACAACTGCTTTCTGAAAATAAACCTAATTTAAGCTCTTAGAAAGTTCATAGCCGGGCTCATAGTCTAACTGTACCCACAAAAGCTACATAGCGTTATGCAATTGAAAAGCAATGTTCTCTATTGGTAAACGAAAAAGAATTTCTGTGAGTTATTCGTTTTTCCCATTCAACCTCATGGCGTATAAATGTGGCCATCGACTACAACGGATGAGTCGGCAAGAGAACTTTTCGAAAGTAAGATTTTGCTGAAGATTTATTAATTTACATTGAATTGCTTTTGCTTCTATTGGGCGTATGCGTCTTATAGTTTTTCCAAAAAATTTAGAGATCTTCTGCAGAGGAAGAAAGGGATCTTCCATCTACGAAAAAAGGACTGAACTGTTGATTTCGAAGAGGAGAAGTTACGTTTATAGAGGGAGACTCATTCTGAACACTACAATTTGAAGATTCTCATCCATCCTTAATTAGCATTAACGCTATATGTATAAATTACAAAAAATATATTTTTATAATTATAAAAATATTCATATGTACATACGAGTATGTTATATATTACACGTACATACAACCATGTAACTCATACAATCACACACAAATTGGGTTAATCACTGCCAGTCAGCCAGCCAGCCAACGAAGTGACGCGCAGCGAAGCGGCAAATAAAGAATTGTGGCAAAAAAAAAGAAAGAAGTAAAAACAAAAATAGTTACAATTTGTATGCAAATAGGTAGGTTTGCTCGTTATTTTATTGTAGCGTGTGCCGGTCATGTAGTTGGCCATGTGAATAAATATTTTGCGGTCACCCGCAACTGCGTGCGCATCGAGAGGGTTAATTGTGTAAAATTATCATTATTATGTGGTTTTCTATATTTTCTTATTTTCAGAGGAAATGCATAAGTGGTTAGTGAAAAGTGTACGCATGAGTACTTAAATAAAATTAATGAAAATTATTTTTAGTTTTTTTTTTTTAGTTGACTGTCAACTAATTTCGCTGACCGTCTTATTAATTATGATTAGTATCGTAATTTTGATATTTTCTCTTTTTAAAATTTATTATAATTTTACGAAATTGATAAGAAGGAAGGTTTATGCATTTTTTATACTTTTTTTTCTGGAGTTCATATTCAAATTCCATTCTTGATTAATATTTTTTTTTTGATAATTTAAGTTTTATAGTAGGATTTTCTTGAAATTGGCAATGAATTGCATTGGATGAAGTGCTAAAAAACTCATATTATTCGATTAACATTCACTTACGTATTTATGTAAACCACAAAGTTTAACGTATATGATTTTTGAATTCAGGATGCTAATAATTTTTTTTAATAACATTTAATTTCATTAACAATTTTTTGTTTCATTTTTGTCTAACCTTTAAATTCATTTTAATTTTTTAATCAATTTTTAATAATGAAGCTTGTTTTAA